TAAGTCCCCTTATGAATCCATCATCAAATTAGGGAACTCGTTGGACCAGTCTGTTTCGAGGTACCATTTAACTGTTTTGATTACATCACATTGCTCTTTCGACCTTCGCATTGTTGCCGTCTTCAATCCCAACCGATTTTTTAATGAGCCACAGTAAAACCCCCGCATTTCCGCGTTTGATTAGTGCACCTATGCACCTCAAAAGTCCTGTACTGTTCGTACCGCCAACCTATCGCAACAAAATGTACTTCTAGATTTTTTTTTTTTAAATCATTGCCTCAGTGTACTGCTGAGGCAATGATTCTGGACAACGGAGAACATAGATACAAAGTTTTTGAGGGATAGAAATTCTTGTTTTCTTTTTTTTTAAGTGACTTTCCATTATTATCAAACTGGGGTGTCAAAAGTTTCACTTTTTCGGCCCAATGAACATGTTTTGATAGTTCACAAGATAATTTTTTGCAGCAGAACATAACATTCGTTTGCAGAAATGTAAAAATAATTGGTCAACGCAAAGGCTGCCCGTGCGAAGGTGCGTTTTTTGCATAGCTTCCCGCAGATTTTTGTCGCTAACGGCACTCGTTTTTCCAGCAGATGCTTCTAGCTAAAATTTCAGACTGGCCGTCAGGACTGTTAGGGAACATCCCTTAAAAATTTCAGTCTTCTAGCTTCTCAGATTCCCGAGTTAGCGACTTTCCCGAAAGAAATTTTGGCGGGCCCGTACTTGGGTACCGCTTACCCAGGAGCTGGGTTTGAGCTCATTGACACCTACTTGGACAGGAAACGTCCCCTTAAAATTTCAGCCTCCCAGCATTTCTGGTCCCCGAGTTAGGAGCTTACCCGTAAAGAACTTTGGCGGGCTCGTACGTGGGTACCACGCAAGTCAGAGCGCCCATTTTGGGTATGGAGGCCCGTACATGCATGTAGATTAAGTTCCCAAAATTTCAGCACCACAGCTTTCGTGGGTCTCGAGATAAAAAATCGGTACAGACGAGCACACAGATGTAACGTTCGGGCGGGGGAGGAGTTGGAGATGGGGCCCTGCCTAGCGGGGAAGTGCAACACCAAGTAACACTTATTTATTAGAGCAATATTAAAGAAATCAAAA